TTACCAATATTTTGACATAAAAATATTGATTTTTAATTAAAAAAGGTGTGGTGAAGTGCGAGTTATTAAAACGATGCATATTGTAATTAGTTTTATATTTTGATTCAGTACAAACATGCTAAATAAACGAGTTAGTTTGATATGAACGGATTATGATTCTAATTTTTTTAATATCTACAAAAAAAATCTTGCAATTCAAAATATTAGTTTTTTTAAAATGTGATATATTTAATATATTAAATATAATAATTTGTGTTTTAAAACTAAATATAGTTTGTTGTATTTTAATTAATTTTATATCAAACCTAAGTTTAAAAAATATTATATTTATTCATATATATATAGTTAAAAAAGATAAAACTGATTTTTTATAGTTTGTGGACAGATTATAAAACTCATTTATTAAGCAATGCATATTAGATTTGATAATTATAATATTTTGTGTATTAGTTTCAATAATATATTAGTTTAATGCCAACGGATTAAATAAACAGCTTATTTTACTTTATCCGTTTATAAAATAACTTCATATACGGATTAACTCATTTTTTACAATTCAACAAAAAAAATGACTCTATATACAGATCAACTCATTTTATAAAATTCACAAAATAACTATTTTTATGAAAAATAATTATACATAATAATTATTTTTGTAAAATTATTTAACTGAAAGTCAAAAGATATCCCTAGTTTAATATTATACGAGTAACAAATAAAACATCTAATAAACAAATTACTCATCGGTAACATTTTGTGTTATATGTGTTACGATTGTATGTAAAATAAAATTTTTAAAATGCATATTAAATATATGGGAAACAGAGAAAAAAGAAATACACATATTAATGTTTGGTGCAATTTGCACGTGGAGTGCCTTATTGTCTGAGTAGCAGATATCAAGCAGGGTAAATTGATCTTAGGGGATAAGCCTGAATTTTTTGGAAGGGTACTCCGTCCCGTTCTGTACCTATCCCGAAATTTCCAAATTTTTCGGAAAGAAAAATTATAATTTCTCATTCGGGTTTGAAAATAATATTTGAATGGGTAAGGAAAAGAGTAAGGACGAGAATGGAATTATCCGAACTTCCCGTTGGATAGTTATATAAAGTGAAATTTTAGAAATTTTGGTAATTGAAAATTTTTTTTATAATAAATATTGATTTTTTAATTTATTAACAAATAATAATTTTTTAAAATTAATATTAATTTTAGTCTAATTATCCAAATCACCCAAACTTTTTTCTCGTCCCTTTCCAGTTCCTTTCCCGATTATGTTTACTTTGGGATTGTATAGGTAATATATTTAATACTAACATTCAAACTTTTACCACAACAATCACCAGATTCAAGATGTACTCATTGATGTGTTTTACGTAATAGTCTCTCTTATTTAAGATTGTTTCAATCTTGGTTTGTCTAGAATAGTTGATTATATTCTATGCATAATTTTGTTTGACTATCATGTTCATATAATCAACTATCTCGTAGTTAAAGCTCTAATACCATGGTAATAGTTACAAACTCAGTTCATTTAGAATAGTTAATTATTATACATGTATAGTCATGTGAGACTAATTGACTATGTATGTTTCATAGTTACACTTACTGACTATAAGAATGAGTTTCTATGTAGGAAAATGGAGAATCTTTATCAATGTAAGGCCATACTGCAGCTAAAGAATGTGTTTCACCAGATTCATGATGTACCTGTGGATATGCTAGTAAGAGTTGGAAGAGAATCTGTAGTTTGTATAGATGTAGAATAGAATGGAAGTTTTTACCACATGTACGATCCAAATTGGACGTCTTTCTTGTATCTTGTTATTGTATTAATAGAGTATTGTTTAAGTGATCGACAATATTATTTTTGTAGTTTAGCTATATTTTTTTCTTAAATTGTCTATCTCATATTTATAGTTGTATTTCCTTTTTGTCCATAATTATTACAAATATAAAAGTATAAAATTGATTACTATAGTCATATAGTTGTGTTTGCATAATTGTGATGTGTCTGCTGCGTGAGGGTTGTCAAGTTTTACCTTAAATGAAATCAATAGCCGCAAGTGTACAGCTGATCGATTGTAGTACTTAGGGATCGAATCCACAGGGAAGGAGGATCTTTCCTACAAAAGCCTTCGAAAAAAATATAAAGTAAGGAAGTCTAGAACCAGGCGAATTTTGTGAGGGTTGGTGGTGTGTTTAAAACGTAAAAACGAATCTTAAAGAGAAAATATGGGAATTAAAATGACCTAATAACTAAACTTAACGCAAAACGAGTAAAAACGGAAAAATGGTTAAACCTAATCGCTTTGATAAAAATCGATTGGGAGAATGAAAATACTAGACTAAAACTTGAATAAAAATCGGTGTAAATCTATAGAAAAAGAGGCGATGGGGTTCAGGAAAGTTTTCTCAGGGGTATGAACGATTCAAAACATTGCTAGAGAGTAAATTTGATAAGATCTTAGCTTAAACTTTTCGAACTGGAGTCACGGACGTATGAATACGCCACTGTCGTGATCATAGACAACTATCTTTCTCAACCCTGACCAGTAGGTTTCCACTCTGGCCCTGGAAAAGAAGAGGTGCATTATGTTTAAGACTCGTCAGCATTCACAAATCGCCTATAGGTAGGTTTCCACTCTTATGTTTGTTTTGCTCTCCCAAACTAGATCTGACACCGGATGAACACTTTCGTGTCACCAAGCATATGGATCAGATTGTAGTTCATGACGCTACTCTCATGCATTAAAAACGAATTCAGAAGAAAAGATTCAGCTCAATAGCTCATGGAATCCTCACCGAACATATATATCCCCATCTAAAATCCCTTAGACCCAACAATAAAACTACTCAGACATGATAAACGAAATCAAAAACATAGTATTAAAAAATAGTATAGAAACCGAAATTGAAAAAAGAAAGAACAAGGGTTCAAAAGATAGATCTCTCTCTCCTTAAAACCTAAAAACAAAGCTTAAAGTAAAATTTCTGTAAATTATTTCGTCTCTCTTTTTTTTTTTTTCAAAAACGACCTAAATGATATGTATTTATAGTCTCCAATACTCTCTGGTGTCTAGGGTTCTGGAATTGAGGCTGAGAAAATGATACAGGCTTCAGAAATGGGCCTTCAAACTCGGAGTTAGCTGGCCGCGGTCGGGATATTCGTGACCACGGGAATGGATGGCTCGCCGCGGTCGGGATGCTTGTGACCGTGGGGAATGGCCTGTTGGCCGCGGGTGGAAAAGCTTACCGGCTGGTTTACGGAACATTTTGCTTTTCGCGTATCTTTTGATTGAACCGTTGGATTGCCAAGCTGTAAAGTGTGCTGGAAAGCTGATACTTCCATCTTTGAGATCTCCAAATTTGAGCTGGATCAGACGGTGAGAAGGCCTTCAATCGGGGGTGAACTTCTGACGGCTTGACTTTGAGCTAAAAATCTGGTCTTCTATCCATTTTGTTAAGTTTTTCCCTAAGTTTCCTGAAAAGAGTCTTGGAACTACAAATACTAGAAAAACGTAATAAAAGTACTTGAAAGCAATTAAAAACATATAAAAAGTATTTCAAATCGATTCATAAAAATGGTCAAAATACGGTGTTATCAAATTGACTACTTTATTTCAGATTGTTCCAACCTTTATTTTTATAGAGTAGTTGATTACTTTCTGTACACATTATTTGACTACTATGTTCATATAATCAACTATATTATTGTTGTAGTTATAAACTCAATTCGTTTAGAGTAGTTGATTAATGTACATGTATAGTTATATGAGACTAATTGACTATGTATGGTTCATAGTTACACACTACTAATATCTGACTACCATGTTTATATACGCTGACAAAGATAAAAATATATAATTGATTACTATGGTCATATAGTTGTGTTTACATAATGGTAGACCTAATTTCAGATTGTTCTAACCTCGATTTTTCTAGAGTTGTTAATTAGTTTCTATGCACAATTTGTTTGACTTATCATGTTCTTATAATTAACTATCTTATTGATGTAGTTATAAGGACAGTTTGTTTAGAGTACTTGATTACTGAACATGTATAGTCATGTGAGACTAATTGACTATGTATGTTTCATAATTACACCCTACTACTATCTGACTACTATGTTCATATACGCTGACGAAGAATAAAGTATATAGTTGATTACTATGGTCATATAGTTGTGTTTACGAAATGGACGGCCTAATTTCAAATTGTTCCAACCTCGATTTGTCTAGAGTAAATGATCACTTTCGATACATAATTTGTTTGACTATCATGTCCTTATGATCAACTATCTTATTTTTGTAATTACAAACTCAGTTTGTTTCGAATAGTTGATTACTATATATGTATAGTTATATCAGACAAATTGACTATTTATGTTTTAATAAATTGTTTATAATAACATAGATGCATATACAAATCTTGATGAAATTAAAGTTATATAGTAAAAGTAAAAGTTATTGCTGCCATTGTCAAAAGTCGAAGGTAGCATTATCAAATTTTTAAGAAATGACATGTTCATATTGGATCAGAAAAAGCAGTGTCGACCAGAAGGGAGCAATGGGTTTAGGGTATTTCCTCGCTTTTTTTAGTTGACTATTGATATAGATTGAATTGGCTTCTTTCTTATGTTAGTTACCTTATTTGCTCTTGAGAACATATTATTCTTGCAAATCATGGATAACCACCAGAATAGTTATTTCTAGTTTTGGTGGCCCATGGTTATATTGTCAGTTTCGACTCCTTACAAGAATATCTGTCTAATTCACTCTTCTTAGAATCACATGTTCTCTCGACTAACAAGCTCGAACCAATCGGCTATGTTTAGTCACGCGAATTGTGTGTATACCTAACATAAACCAGTTTTAACAATGACTTTGTCTCGTCGTTAAAAGTAAGGGTGTTTGAAATAAGCAAACAAAGTTTATACCTAACATAAGCTAAAATTTAATGAAAACTTTTGCTGTTGTTAACTCGTTGCAGTTGTTGTCGTTAAAATGTCGTTTCCATAAAATACAACATATAATATGTGTGATTACACAAGGAATTAAAAACGAGATAGGAAAATGTAAATTTGTTGATTATTATTGTTTGTCTGGCAGTCATATTAGACTGACTTCCCATTTTGTCTAATGCAAGATTCCTCAGTAATCTTTGACAAGTTTAAAATCGCTAAGAGCTAATGAAATTGAATAAAATCATTGGCCTTTCTTAGGGAAATATTGAAGAGCCGTGAAGGTATTGAAAAATATCATCCACAGGCTGGAATGATAGGAACTAACGGCAAGGATGCATCTCTATCGCACATATCGGGACTAATGTCTATGACTCCTTCACCCTGCCATGTTTGATTATGAGGTTAGAAATATATGCAACTTATAGTTTAAAGTGAAAAGTCGGGTTAAGCGTTCACAATAATGAAATCGCAGTGGGAGGATTCAAACCCTGGTACATCAGCTAACAGGGTGAATCCTTCAACCACTCATCATAAGTTGGTTTTTTTCTAAAAAAGATGATAAAATCTAAAACTATTCAAAAACTACACAACAATCTCCAACCATTCAAGACTTTTGTTACCTTGGCAATGTTTCTGAAAAAGGAAGTTGTGTAGTTTCCAGTTGGAAACAAGGCTTCAACAATGTCAGCCAGTACCAGATTTGGTTGCGAGATTGCTCCATCGTACCAGTCTTCTCATTATTAAAATAAAAAAAATGGTTTTCAGCTCAAATCAATAGAAACTAACCAATGTTCTTATGAATTTCTTACCAAGAGTTGTTCCATTTCTGACCCTTTTGTCATATCTCCATATGCTCTGATTAAACGCAAAACATGAGTTATCCTCCAGGTTTATGTTCTCCAAGAACGTTTTCTGTGTGTAATTCTGAGGGTCAGATGATAGTGTTTCATCAATCACCGCATCCACAGTCTGTGAAATCAAAGTTATTAGGCTAAGCTTTTGTGGTTATCAGAAATATGAAAGCAGAACAAGTAAGATCCCGCTTACGCATAAAATGGCATGAAGTGCTTCCAGATCATCAGGATCAGAGACATTGTAAGTGACTTTGTTTATAGATGTATCGATATTTTCACCGCCGGCGTCTTCTACAAACTGTTGTGTTTATGTGGATACTCTTCACTTTCAAAGATGTTTCCACATATGCAAACGAAAATTTTCAAGTGCCGGAAAGCTGAAATGCATACCTTTAGCTTATGTGGTTCCTTAGTAAAACACCAAACCCCTCCCTTCAAGATGAAACATATATATGCTATTAGTCTACAATCATAAATACACATTCATCTACGAATTATAAGAAACATGACCCTATAATATAGCTGGCAACTAGTGCATTCAAACAGGACTCTTGATTACATTTTTTTTCTTAAAAAAAGATTTTGTATATAAGCGAGGGACAACTTTGATAAACTAAACTATATGGTATAAATATACGTCTGATATAAAATATGCATAGAACGTCGAAATAGTTTGCAAACGCCCTGATAAGGAAGTAAGAAGAATTTCAATACATTTATATCGTACTCCATCCACGCGACAATGGGTTTGAAGGATTTAGTCTTGTTGGCTGCCATTTGAGACAAGCAAGTATAACTTGCTTTGACCTGCAAGGCTCCAAAACATACTCAGACAACAACTGTTGGCAGAATCAGATTTTGAAAAGACAAAAATGATTTTAACACTCACCGCATCATAGACTTGATTGGCTTTAGTTTCTAGATTGGTAAAAGCACCAAGAAATTTGATCCACTCCGCTCGCTTATTCAAGATAACAAAACCAGCAAATAACATCGACTCAAAATGTGAAAAATTTGATCACTATCACTTTTGGTTAGATCTATGCCAATATAATAATAATAATAAGTGGCACCTGAAGAGGTGTGCCTTCACTTAGTGGAAAAAAGTTTGCGAAATTGCAAGTCTGAATTTGATCGGTGTCGCTGATGAAATGTGCTGCGAATTGAGACACTTCTTCTGCACCTTTGTCAAGCTTAACTACTTCGCCTGCCTCACACAGTTTCAGAAGACACGGTGAAGCTACAGCGTCTGATGTTATTCCCTTCAAGCTCCCGAGTAATCCAAGTAGCTGCAAATGTAATCATAAAACTTGTTTTCTTCACATCCTTGACCAAAATCCAAATCTTTTCACCCATTCTAAACCGTGATTCTAAAGAGTTTTTTTTTTGCACCGGTACCAACCAAACTCTTAGCTTATGCTAAATTAGCTAGAAAGAAGTGATTACCTCGAAGAAAGAAACTGGAACGCCTCCTGAATAAGAAAACAAAACAGAGAGATCTGAAAAGCAGAGTCATTTTAAACAGAGGAAAGAAACAGGAGAAAATAACAGAGCATTACCTTGAGAAGATTGAGTGTCTACTGAGTAGTTAAGAAGTGGAATCACATAGGACTTAATCCTGGAGGTACAATACTTTGTCCGAACGGCCATTCTAGAGGTGTTCTGCAGATTACCTTTTACTTTTAGACACTAACCAAAACGTTTGGAAATAAAGAGGAAGATGAGAAGAGTAAGGACCTGAATAAGGAGATAGCTCTTGCCATCAATGGCGTTCTTGATGACTTTGAAGGTTTGTCCATAATATATATGGAAGTTCTCAGCATCTTCCACCTTTGAAATGCTTCCCACTTTTACATTGTTAGAAGCTCCGTGTGATTCTCTCGCCACCATGCACCACAATGCTACCAACAGTACCAGAGGCCAAGAAGAAGGAGATGAAGACATTATCACTTGTTAATTAAGCTTGGTGATGAAGAAAGAAGACAAAATCAACTAAACCCTTTTGGAATTTAGATTGATTCACCCGTGATATTTGTGGTTAGAGAGAGAGAGAGAGAGATAAATCTATTATTTTTTGTTTCTTTTGGTAAGAATTACCTTTTTTTTATACGCTAGCAATTCTGTTGGAATGTACTTTTTGTTTTTTAGTTTGATTTTTAAACAATATTTGGAATTCAGATGGAATATTTGCCACACTCCACTTCTATACATTAAACTTATATGCAACCACTATTTGATTAGAAACAGTAGTATCATACTAAACCCAAGAAAAAAAAAACAATGAGTACCATATTTTGTCAACAGGACAAGTACTTTAAAAAAATTTAAAACTGGTAGCAGTAAGTTTACATACAAAATATATCACTATTGGCGGAGCCATATGCATTAAGATGGGTCCCAATGCATTTTAAAAAATTGATGTAATTTATTAAAGCCTAATATTAATGCTGTTACTCATAAAATTGCTCCTACTCATAAAATTATATATACTCTTATTTACCCCAATGAAAAAAATTTCTGACTCTGCCTGTATCATATTACATTCTTCGTATAAAAGATTTTTTCTCTTCATTTCAGTTTAATGGCTATTTAAATGGTCAGTTTTATAACCACTCCTCTGGAAGTTCAAGCCAAATTAAAATTAGAGTATGAAACTGAACCTCATGAAACAAATTATACAAAAACAAATAATTTCTTAGTACAGAATAAAAGAAAGAAAAAGAGAATGGAAAGTAAGGTTTTGATTGAAAGTGAGCATGCTAGTGTTAGAGGTGACCCGTGAAGAGAGCACGTTACTATTATGGATTTGTCATTTTGTGTTTCAATAGTTAGCGCTTTCGCTTTCTTGTGATTTTCTGTCTATACCCATTACCCCTCACCACGTGCAACCCATCTCCATTAACATAAGCTCGATTCAAAGGTTTCTGACTCTGAGGTCCTAAGAGATACTGCAGATAATGGTCATCTTTAGAGTAGTTTAAGTTTTGTAAATGAATTTATATTATGGTTATGGTACCAACAATACTTAATATCAAAAGTTTGGGAAGTTGATGTACACCAACTAGCGTTACACTCAAAACCATAGCCATAATGATATATCCGAACAAAATGCATAAAATTAGGGAATCCATTGTTTGATGGGAATTAAAAATAAAAATAACAGAAGTTTTTGGTATAAACGAGGTTCTCAATTTTTTTGATATTTAACTATTTTCTTTTAAAACTATTAATAATCAATTCTCATTTCCCTCTATTTGTTTTTCTTATGTAGTAATGTTCTGAAATTCTATATCATTTATGTTTTATGTGTTCTTTTAGTGAGTCTAAGACGGTTTTCAGAGTAAACTTTGGTACATTTTAATATCTATTATGTTATATGTGCAAAATGACTATTAAAATGAAAGCAAGTAAATGAAGATGAAAGATTATGTAGGAGCATACTAACTCTAACATTTATTAGAGATTTCCAGCTATTGAATCAAGTTCAAATTTTGATTGAATATACGAAAAATGTGTTATCTTTCATTTGGAGGAGGTTTCAAGTCAACAAGGCCATCGGTTGAGGTGTGTGACCGTATTAGTGAAGCTAGATTATTTGGGTAAGTTAATGTGCAGAAACTTCCCTGAGAGGCAAGATTGATCGGTCTCAGTATTAGATCGATCCGTCCTGTTTCCCTATAAGAAATAAATCATTTATCCAACACACAAAAAAAAGTAAACCATTTGGCATTTGACAAATAAGTCAATCACTCTCATATTCAGATGAACTTTCTACATCAGATCCAACCCATTTTCACCTTAGATACGGCTTGTATCTACTATGTGTTTAATCATTTTCAAAATTTTGATAGAGTTTTCTATTAGTTTCATTTTAAATCTTGAACATTATTCTCTATATTTTCTTTTGAAAAACCTTCATATCACTAGACAAGATTCTTTATCAATTTTTTTTTTTTGTCGAAATCAATTCTTTCTTATACATTCATCTTTTCTTATTATTGTTATTGTGATATATGAGTAGTAATTCTCTTGGCGGAAAAATACAGAATTACAGTTTTGACAGAAAACTGTATATTCATATTTTGACTGGAAAATGTTATGTTCTTTATGAAAAATTTCAAAATCTAGTCTTTCTAGTGAAAAAATGCAAAATTATTTTTTTGGTGAAAAAATGTCAAAACCTCCTCAGTTATTCTCTATATTTTTTGGGGAAATCTTATGTGTTCTTTCTGTTTTGGAAATATTATATATACAAACTTCCTCCGTTCTTCTCTGTATCTTGATTTTTTTTTTTTTTTATTCTGTGCTTCAGTCTTCTTCTTTATTTGTTTATTAAGCTTTTAATTCGATTATTGCTGGAAAAAAAAAACAAATGGGCTCGTTAAGATTAATTTCCTTTCTTCATGTTTTCATGTGGCTATATATTAAGTGCAAATTTGATGGCTCCAAATTGATGACTTCGACGGATATATATATATATATATATATATATATGGTATATTATGTTTCTTATGTCAAATAAATTATATAACTGTTAAAGTATAACCAAAAGTAGTGCTACACTTGCATATTTAATGATAAATTAAATTTTAAAATCAGAATTTAAAATATAATTACTAATAAACTCATAGGCCAAAAGATTATATTGCCTTCTAAGATTAGTGATAAACTTGCCAAAAGAATTAACATTTTTCTGTTTAGTCCTAATTTTGTTGAATTTTCTTCCAAATATATATTTTCTAGATATTGAGCGGATGTGAGATCCTCTAATTTAAGTTCTTCTTTATTCATGGCTGAATAGTATTTAAAAAAAAATTTTAAAATAGAACTAAAAACTGATAGGAAAAAATAGTATGTTACCTTTTAAGACTAGTAATATAATTGCCAAGAAAAATACCATTTTTAGTCTAAATTATTTGGTTTTCGTTTCAAAAATATTTTCTTGGGGAATGAGCAGATCTTTTACGCTCCACTTAAAGTTTCTCTTTATTCATGGATAACCATCTACTTAAAAAAAAATTCTAACCATTTCAGTAACAATTGCTTGCAAATGAAACAAAAATTCGATGTATAAGGTGTTGTTTTTCAAAATTAAAGAGCATTATTAAAAACAATTCAATAAAAGAAATAATGAAGTATGGAAAAAAATATATACAATCTTGAAAAGACATAAGCATTAAGAGAAACAACATTTGATAATTGGCAGTTATGTACGAAATTGTAAAATTAATAAAATAAAACAAAAAGACACTATTGTAGAATTGTAACCATTGATGTAGTTATATACAAAAATGTATAATCAAATAAAAATAAAAAATAAACAGAAAGACACAATGGTTCACTTATAATTTTTATTTTATAGAATTCCAAAAGATACAAATGAATAGTTGCAATAGTTTTGAAGAAGCATAATTTCAACAGTTGCAATGGTTTAAGAACCATAAACATAGGAGTTTCAATGGTTGGTAAAATAATCAAAATCTCTAGAATTGCAATTTTAGAGAAATAACCATAAACTCAACAGTTGCACTAGTTCACAAAAAAACGGTAACACTTAAATCTCCAACATTCATTTCCTATTAAAATATAATTATAGATTCACTAAATAAACAACACATATACTAATAACAAAAGAAAAGACACAACCATACAATAGCAACCGTTCATAAAATTAGCAGTTATACACGAAAAGATAAAAAATGTAACAATGTATGACTCAACATATATATTCATATAAAAGACAACTATACAATTAACATTGAGAATAAGTTAAACAACGATTATAACCAACATGATCAATTTTATCGATATAAATCAATCATTGATAGATATATTTTTACAGTGAGAAGTTTTTAAAAAACTTATCATAATATGAAATGTTAAAATCTCCAAAAAAAAAGACAATAAAATTCTAATATATATTTTGAATAGAATAATCAATTTCTGCATCCATAGAAATAAAATGTATGATAGAATTCAATGCTCTTATATATCGAAGAAACAAAGGCTCAATTAAAATTTTATTAATAACGGTGGAGGTTCACGAGCATTAGGGAGTAAAACACGACCTTGTTTACAACAAATTAAGAACAATTGACGTTTACCAACTGCATCTGTTACAATACTTTCTAATGACCAAACCCAAGCATTACAACCGGAATATTGTATTTAAGTTATTATTTGGTTCTTTTTTTTGCAGTCTTTAACTTTTCCTTTTAATTTTAACATTCTTAGTCTAATATATTAAATAAAAAACAATTATGATATTATGACTAGCAATAGAAATATTCACTATTCCAACTTTGTTTGGGATAATGCTATTGTTTGATATTGGTTGAAAATCACCATATTTAAAAATAAATTTTTAATTAAGATATGTAAATTAACATTCCAAATTTTAATATATATATATATATATATATATTATTTAAATAACGTACTGTTAATCGAAGATTGTTGTTGAGAGAAACTTTATATTTCTATTGAATTTCTAATATTTATTGATATTTTATACTTTCATGCAAGCAAATTAATTCTAAACATTTGTAACTGTAGCAGATACTTTAACTTTATGATGTTTAACGGGTGAACTGTATGCTTGATAAATAGAATGTTTATCCATCTCTAAATGAAAATGAAAACAAAAACTGTGTCTTATTGTTATATATATATATATATATATATATATATATAATTTGATAGAAAATTATATCTTTTTAATGAAAAGTGGTGCCTCTTCAATAAGCAATTGTGTCTTTATTTTGAAAAGATGCAATGCTTCAATATTGAAAAATAAATTGTTTAAATTTTGAACAATTGCAGTGGTTTAATAACCATTAACTTAAGAGGTGCAATGATTGGTAAATTAATCTTAATTTCAAAAATTGCAATGTTTAGTAAATAACTATAAATTCAAGAGATGCAATAGTTGATAAAATGACCATAATCTCTAGAATTGCAATTTTAGTAAAATAACCATAAACTCAATAGTTGCAATGTTC